TTCCTCAAAAACTCTTTCGCATTTACTTGCTTAGTCTTTTTTTTTCGTTTATCTAAATTCCACATCATTATGTTTTTCATATTCAAAAGAGAATTAACAGGAAGACCATGAAATAAAATGCAAAAGAAAAGTTAACTAGGAATAATTAATTTATCCCAATAAATGCTATGATTTTGTTGCACAAACACTTTTCCGAATTAAACTTTTAGAAAACGAAATTGCAAAATAAGGACACAACTACCTGATATAGATATACTCAAGCCTTAAAGAGACCAATCAATTAAGATTTAAAATGTTGCCTTATAACAGTTGTAACTTTGAGTTAAATTACTTTGTCTGTCTAATCTCCCCTGCTCCATTCTTTTTGGAAAGACGTTAAAAAAAAAAAAACCAAAAAAAAAAACCAAGGAAACATCTGGCACTTTGCCAGTGAAAACATGCTGCTCACAGAATGGTTGCTATTAAGACGACATGTTAACCACAGAGCTAAATAGCTAAACGCATTCATCTAGGACAGCATATGGAGTGACTGTGGCATCAGAGATGGTCCTGGGTGCGGTGGTTCACACCGATGTGGTGGTGTAGATTAGAATCTCAGGAATCCCCTCAGCTGAGATTTTGATTTGTTTGGTGTGGGTGAGAGCATTTGGATTTATGAGAAATTGTTCAGGTTATTCCAATATGCAGTCAGTGTTCTAAACCACTGCCTGAGGCAATGTCTGTTAATCATTGAAGTGCATATGAATTACTTGAGGTCCTTGCTAAAATGCAGGTTCTGCCTTAGTGGGTCAAAGGTGGGGCCTGAGAGTCTACAAATCTAAGAAGTTCCCAGGTGATATTGATGCCTCCGAGTTCCCAGACCACTCTTTTGGTGTCATCCCATCTCTTGAACTTGAATGGGCTCAAGGCACTGGGCAGTGTAGATGACCAGACTATGGGGATGAGTGTGACTCTGTCTTTGTGTGTGAGGTTCACCAAAAAGAAATGTCACCATATCAGCAGAGTACTGAATGCATGTATATTCTATACACCTATTACAGGTTGTTATAACTATGTAGGCAAAGGTAGGATCCTGCCCTGCCTTTGCACCTTACACCCACATTTCTCTGCTTGAAGATCTTTTTTAAGAATTATTTTCTTTTTTCCAGCCTTCTTAGCAATATTCTATTTTTACCTGATTTCACTTAATAAAAAGTTAGAGAATTTCACATTATATAATTTCTTGCTGAATCCCCATCCCTTGACGTATCCTGGCACGGTGTATGCACATAAATTACTTGGTTGGACATTTGGTCATTTTCTCCTTGAGCAGGGCATTGGTATTTACTGAAAGTATATTTAGACTTCAATTAACCCAAATCATCATGCAAAACCATGTAAGATGAAAACACAGGGGCTGGGAGCAGTGGCTCACACCTGTAATCCCAGCACTTTGGGAGGCTGAGGCGGGCGGATCACAAGATCAGGAGATCGAGACCATCCTGGCTAACATGGTGAAACCCCGTCTCCACTAAAAATACAAAAAGTGTATCCGGGCGTGGTGGTGGGCACCTGTAGTCCCAGCTACTCGGGAGGCTGAGGCAGGAGACTGGCGTGAATCCGGGAGGTGGAGCTTGCAGTGAGTCAAGATTGGGCCACTGCACTCCAGCCTGGGTGACAGAGTGAGATTTTGCCTCAAAATAAAAATAAAAACAAAAACAAAAAAACCGCAATTGCATATTTTTTCCATTATTGTAAATTTAATGGAAACAAAGAATAAGAATTGCATCAAGTTGAGGTATCAATGGAATCACAAATTGTATCTCCTACAGGTTTTGCCGTATTGCAACTTTGCAGTTCCAATTAGGATGGACCTCTCTGAATTTTAACAATAAGACGCCATGGTACCTGACACTTGCTGTGTACAAGATGAGATATTCAACTACATATCCACTAGCAGAACATCACTGGTTTGGGATATCAAAACTTTTTCCCTAGACTAGATAGCATGATTTTTATGTAACTCCTGCTGCCTGTGGATGGCAGCTGCAAAACAAAGTCAAAATCATATAAAAACAAACTACTACATGCATGCTACACAAATCTCACTGGGGTGATTATAGGATTATTCTACCCCATAATGCATGGAATTTAATACTTTGGAGCAAAATCTGGCTCCTGTGGAACCCGAGATCTTTGCCCGATATAAACTCACCACGTGTAGATAATTTGTCCTCTGGGATAGGTGTAGAGTATGATGTAGCAGTCACCACCATAGAATTCACCATATGAGTTTTGGTCAACTTGGATCCTACCATTGTTTTCTACACGCCAAATCTGGAAGGAATGGAATATATACACCAAATTACAATTTTCTTGATCTAATAGTACTTCTCATAAGCTTTAAATAATTTTTGGTTCAAATCTATTATTAAACAACTTTTAAATTATTTTTTAACTAGTTTACAAATCAAGCAAAGGAAAGAAATTGTTATCAATTTGCCAATTTATTGACATTTTAAGTACTTTTATGTTTCTTTTGCTTCCTCTACAGTATTAAGCTCAGTTCCGAGCCTGGTGATTAATAAATACCTATTGTTTCATCTACTAGTGGAAATAACATGACACTCCAGTGGAATAAAAAACTGCAAGATTCAGCTCAGAAATATGTATTTTAATTTTTTCTTCAATTATGAAATAACATGCGTATTTTTTTCCCTGTGCTTTAAGATAGGAGACTATTATTTTCCCAGGCAAGACTTGGTAGACTGTGACCAAACACTGAAGATGCTACAACACACTGAATGTTTGAGTCCCTCCACGATTTATGTTGAAATCCTAACCTCCAGTGTGACGGTATTAGGAGGTGGGACCTTTGGGAGGTACTTAGGTCATGAGGCTAGAACCCTCATGAGTGAAATTAGTGCCTTTATAATCAGAAAGCTCTCTAGCTCCTTTTTCACCACGTGAGGATGCAGCAAAAAGTCTATTGGGAAGTGGATCCTCCACCAAACACTGAGCCCATCAAAACCTTCAGCATAGACTCCCCAGCCTCCAGAATGGTGAGAAATAAATGTTTCTGCTTAAACTCTCAATCTATGATATTTTTGTTATAGTAGCCTGAACAGACTAAGACCAAAACGATAACATGACTTCTGTTTTTAAAAGGTGCCATCCAGGTATAAGACTGAAATGTGATGATGGGATAAAAACAGGCAGAACCACTTTCATTCTACCTCCTCATCTTCAGCACAGATTAAAGACCCTCCAAGTTGGAGAGATGAGAACTGTAGATGAAACAGGAGAGTAACAAATGAAGGAGAGGCTGCCAGGCACTGTGTGTGTACATGTAAGCACACATACACACACACACATACACACATATGCACACTTGCCTAAGTTCTCCGGTGGGAAGGGCAGACTCTTTGCTTTGAAATCTGAAGATGAGCAAGTGGATAGGAGCAGTGCAATGCTTCTAGAGAGAGGCCACCCCACCCTATCCTAGAGAGCAGAAGCCTTATATCCTAGAGACAGCACAAGATCCTAGAGAGAGCTCCCCAGATTTCAGCAGCCCTAGGATGGCACAGGAGAAGGCTGCAGCCAGGACACAGCTGGTGCTGGAGACCAAGTTTGCCAGGAGGACTGAGCTCCAGCAGCAATGTCTAAGTAGGAGACAGATGCAGACCCAGAAGTCGATACCCCTCCGACAACAGCCATGAGGGACATTTGTGAACTTCTCCCTTGGCACTCCCCACTCCCCAACACCCATGCCACTTAGATTCATGCTTCATGTCTTTGAAAAGAGGAAAAAATATTTCACTAATTTCTTGACCGTATACTTTGGTCCAAGCATTGTGGTAAGCCCTAGGAATATAGAGATGAAATATTTAATTCCTGTCCTCAAGGAATTGATGAGAGGTCTAGGAGAAATCTGGCAGTAAATGAACAATTCTGTGGTAGGTATATGATAAATTCTGTGAAAAATATCCCTAGAGGTTGAACACAGAGAAAGGCCACTTCAGCACTGAGGGAAGCCTTCTCAGAAAAGGTATGGCTTATGATTTAACTGAGTTGCCAATGAGGTGTAGGAACGTTAGCTAGATGGCAGAGGGGAAGTCAGTACTCAAGGCAGTGGATAGGTGAAGCCAAGAGGAGGGAAAGGGTCAAGGGTCCAGCTGAAGACATATACATTTATAAATATATATGTATATATAAACACAGATATGTGTATGTATACACATTTATATATGTGTGTGTGTGTGTGTGTGTGTATACACATTTCTCCCTCTGTCACCCAGGCTGGAGTGCAATGGTGTGATCTTGGCTCACTGCAGCCTCCACCTCCCAGGCTCAAGCGATTCTCATGCCTCAGTCTTCCAAGTAGCTGGGACTACGGGTGAGCTCCACCACAGCTGGCTAATTTTTGTATTTTTAGTAGAGGTGGGGTTTCACCATGTTGGCCAGGCTGATCTCGAACTCTTGACCTCAAGGGATCTCCCCTGCCCTCTCGCAACATACACTAGCATTCATGGGCTTGACGAAAACAAAAACAGGTAAATACCTCCACTTTGCCAGAACCATCATCCACCATATTGTGCTGGGCTGCCATCTGTGGAGAACTATGTAATTTTGAGGCATCAAAGGGAATTTGTTTTATTTGAGCCACTTTCTCTGTGACATATACTTTCCCGAAGCCATCACTCTGATCTTTATCTCTCCAGTCCTTAAAAAACTGTTTGAAGATTGGTGTTTCACCTCCTTCTGGAAGAACTTGAATCTGAAATGTAAAATAATAATAATAATAAACAGGAAAATAAGCAATTGAGGGAAAATATGAATCTGGCAGTGGAGACAGAACTAAGGAAATGAAAAATTATCCTGGTTTGGCTATCAAGCTCATATAATCCAAAACTGCTTTTTCTCATGACTAAAGTAATTACCACTGAATTTTAATATTTGAGAGACGAATCAAGTTCTTTAATATGTTATCCCTGCAGTAAAATAAGTTTGTCTTTCTCCATAAGGTTCACAAGAGATCTGTGAGCTGGAAGAAATTATCTCATTGTGTTCCTTGTGTAAGGACATAAAAACGAGGAGAATAGATGAGGCTGAGAGATTTGGAAAGGAAAGGAGTAATTAGACAGTGTCTAAATTGATTTTGATTAAGACAAGTATCATCTGGGTTTCAGGCCAAGTCTGCACAACTTGCTCTAAGGAATAATAACTCATAAGTGCTCTTAGCTAAATCTACTGTGGTTTACTATCTTGAATTAAAGGCAGTGGAGGAAGTGAATGGGCGCTCTATAGAAAGTCTGATGAGCAGTTTCTAAAAAATTCTAACCCCCACACAGATAAAGAGGGACATGTGACACCAGATTGTAGCAGGCAGGCAGATGGAGAATCACTTCACATGCAGACGTTACTTTGACCCAAACTTTTTCATGAGTTTCATGGAGATGTCATGAGTTCCCATGTTTTCTATTCTTTTCTATCCAGTTCATTTTCACACATACTTGGGTATTCTTGGAATAATTCATTTGCTGTAGAAATTCTTCAGCTGTCTTCATTGCAGCCTTCCTCTCCTGGGGATTAGCATCTTTACCTAAAATACAAGGTAAATTAAAGAGAACTTTAATTTAAACTTAAATTTAATTTAATTTAAATTTAATTTAAACTTCAGAGAAGGAAGACATTCTATGATTAAGAAATACTTGTGTACCATAATAAACATAATTATAATTGAAGTTAAATGCAACAGTGAAAGAATAACAAAATTGGCCGGGTGTGGTGGTTCATGCCTGTAATCCCCGGGCACTTTGGGGGGCTGAGGCGAGGTGGATCACTGAGGTTTCAGGGGAGTTTGAGAACAGCCCTGGCTACACGGTGAAATTCCCCGTCTCTAAACAAAATTAGCCGGCATTGGTCAGAGGTGGGCCGGCGCCTGTAGTTCCCAGCCACTCGGGAGGACTGGAGGCAGGGAGAATGGCGGGTGGAGGCCTTGGGAAGCCTGAGGCTTGCAGTTGAGCCGATATTGCGCTTTATCTGCACTCCAGGCCTTGGGTGGACAGAGGCGAAGACTCTGTTCTAAGAAAAAAAAAAAAGAAGATGCAAAATTTCCTGGTTATGAGTATATTTAACAATACGGCGAAAAACGTTTATTTGTTAAAACATTCTTTTTATATTGCCCCATGGCTTTTTTTTTTTTTTTTTTTTACATTTCATTATCCCTGTACATGATGTTGGTAGGTGAGGAAAATGGGCATGCCATTTTGGTGTGAGGACATTTTATTAGGGATCAAGTCTTTAATTAAAGTTGGGTTTTTTTAAAAAATCAAAAATATTATTTTATGTGTCTAGCGCTTTTTTTAGAGGAAATATTATCTACATCGATACCCAGTTATCCCGCCAATGGAATTCACCCCCCCATAGCGAATGTGAATGGGCCCGGTGATCCAATAGATGCAGTCTTCGGAAGGGCAGCCATTGCATCGGAAGGGGGGGCGGGGTTTTCTTCTGCCACACCAGGGTCGACTTTCATGAGCCCACCTGGGGCGGGGG